TCGAAATATCATCATTGGATTTATTAACATATACTGTGCTAGAGCCTAAAAGAAAGTGGCGCTTTCTCCACGGACTATACCCATCCGAAAGATTTTTATTCGTTTAATAATTATTGGTTGATTGTTGGTAGTGTGAATTTATAGAATCATTTAATCAAACCGTGAACTTTTGTAGTTTAAGCCAAGAAACAAATACTACAGAGGAAGGTCATTTATATAGAAAAATACGAAAAAATCGGAGGAAGGGGGGGGGGGGTGTCTAGATGTTTTGATCGTCAAAAGTTGATTTTTATGTAAAATAAGTGGTAGGGACACCACACGACAAAATTTTAGGGATAAAAGACTGAGGAGTACAGTGGACAGCCAGTCGACAAAATTTTTATGCTTGATTCTCAATAGTATTACGCCCAAAACAATTGAATACTATCTCACCTGAAAGCGCACGAAGTGTGCTACATAACCCATATTTACCTGCTGTTCAAAAAGTTATACCAAAAATTCTAAACATTTTTTTTGTCGACTGGTTTCCACTGTAAGGGAAGATATGGATTAAATTTTGATGTAGACTATTTTACGACGAAAAATAGAGTTTATAGTGTATTTTTTCATGCTAATTCTAAATATAACACTTATTTTACACAAAAATCAACTTTTGACGATTAAAACCTCTAAACGCTCCTCATTTTTTCATATTTTTCTATATAAATAACCTTTCTCAAAAGCTTATGAGCATTAATTTTTCTGAGATTTTTGAAATCTCAGTGTGGTCTATCTTATGTACAGAGTTCGAATCCAAAAGAGATTTATCAATTGAAACGGTTTCTTCGTTAGTGTCTTTGAGCAACAGTATCTTGTTTCAAAAAAATTTGTCGAATTTTATTTAACAGAGAAATCCAAAGAAATGAAGGGTATGCGTACAGTCGTTTTTGCATATCTAGCTGTATGATTCCAAAGATCACAAAAAGCTAAAATTTTGACTAGCCATTCATCTTACTAATTTTGTGTAACCTTTGCAAAAAAACTTGACATAGATGATCTTTTCAAAAATTTGATCCGATCGAGTAGTAACTCTTTCTGCACCTAGTAGACATGATATCTCACATGTGTTTTTTTTGCTTTTTTAAAAACGTTGCTTTCTTACCGAGTTATAGCGAAAGTAAGACCAAGTTATGAAGTGAAAACTCCTAGAATTTCTATAGAAAATTGAAAAAAGATAGATGTACTATCACCGGTATATCTGCTATAAATTTCTTCTCAATCCGATCAAATTGACGGTGGATCGTCTGTGCAGCAATTTTGGTCAGTGGCATTTTGGATTAGGCATTTTCCTAGAGAGAAGATTAGAAAAACGATGAATTTCATAGAAACTTACTAAAAAAATCGAAAAACATTCTGTTAGAAAGCGAACACTTTTTTCTACAAGATTAGCGTGCCAACAAATTTTTGCCCTTCTGCTAGAACGAAAAAAATATAACTTTAAATTACACATTCTCATGTATAATTTTTTAAACTGAGCAAAAATCGGTGTTGATAGGTCATGCAAAGCTGGAAGAGATGTGATTTCAAAGACCTTTTGGTCGTCGTTAGACAGAGTTTCTCAATTTGAGAAGTTAAAATTGGACGAAAAAAGAGCTACCCATATCCTTAAGTGAAGTTTGTTGAATTTCCCTATAGTTGCTTTGCTTTTTTTTATTAACTTTCTATTCGTTTGCAGAGACTCAATCATTTCAAGGAAGGGCCACTTATTACAATGTTCAAGGTGGATACACAGCATGTGGCACAATGCATAACGATGGTGAATTCATTGCTGCTTTGAATAGTGCTCAGTTTGATCCGAGTACACCAAATGGAAACCCAAATAATAATCCATTATGTAACAGAGAAATTGAAGTCAGTGGTCCACGGGGAACAGCAAGAGTTCGAGTAGTTGATCGATGCCCAGGTTGTCCATACGGTGGTCTTGATTTATCGCCAGCAGCTTTTCAACGAATCGTCGGTGATCTTAGCCAGGGTGTTGGCCAAGTTACATGGGAGTGGACGTAGAAAGAAATACTAGACAGTTCAAAAAAAATTCTTCTGTCTTTTTTTCTTCAAGTCTGTAATGCTAAAATAAAAATGAGAATGTGGGTACGGGCGTGAATATTCTCCTCCATAACATCCACACCCATATCCATACCTAACCATATTGTCTTAATATGGATCTTCTATTTGAAAGACTAAATGATGACTTCAGTTTGTGATCATGCTAACATCTAGTTGATTTACAAAAACTGGGTCGCTTAATTGGTCAAATTGTTTGATCTGGATAGGAAGAGATGATGAGACCTCGATAATTTGATAATCAAAACTTTCCTGTTGACAATTTTTTCATGGATTTGGACTAATTGGCTTGCAAGTAAATGCATTGATCATAAATGAATTCATTTTGTTAAAACGCCTCAATACGATACTACAAGGTAGTTTTCGGTGAAACGACAGAAATATGACGTCTATCTATGACAAAGATTTGAAGATTTACGATCATTCGTAGTGTCCGACTTAGGATTTAACCATACATGTTAAATTGAACAGGCTCTTGAATAAAACAAACCAAGCCACGTATTTATATTTTATGTATAAGAAGATGGTTTTGACGAAACATATATACTACGTGTATCGGATCAAGTCAAATAATCCGTGGATCACGTGCGCCGAATCAGAACTAATGTTGGGAACAATGAAGCTGCATGTATTGCTATAGATCAAGAGATCAGAATAAAGCAACAGACACTATCTCAAATTAACTAGGAGAAAACAAAAAAAAAAAAAAATATTTGATTATCCCAAGTAATTTCCATTTGACAGTTCTCATAATATATTTTGTATTTCATCAAGATTAGAAAATATCAAAGATCGTTCGAATTCAGAAATCTTGACTCCATTGGGGTGTGGGGTGGGTGTGGGTGTGGGTGTGAGTGTGGGGTGTGTGGGTGTGGGTGTGTGGGTGTGGGTGTGGGTGTGGGGTGTGTGCGTGTGGGGTGTGGGTGTCCTTTTCATCAACATCCACACCCACACCCACACCCACACCCACACCCTAGTTATTCAATTCTCTTGTAATTTTCGATTGCATAGCCTATATGGCAACATTTTATAGAAGGTAAATAGCGAAGATAGACAGCACTTGCGTATGGTTCGTACGTGTTTCTTGTGCTTTTCAATCGACAGATCAGATTGATGTCTTTGTAATGAAAGCGAGTACAATATATGAATAGAATTCTGATTGTACTCATTCATTTATGATGAATATTCAATCATTTTACCGTTTTAAAACTAATATTTAAAAATGAACAAAACTTTTGAATGAAATAATAAAAATTATTCATTTTCATTGTTACTTTTTTATAGTTGATAAACGCGAAATATTCGGTTGAAGAGGACAAATCGTTAGAATAAACAATGGTGAAAGAAGTTCATACTTTACATGATCTGTAATCAGCTGATTAACTCACAAGTTTTGTTTGAAAATGACCAGAATAGAAGAATCAAAACATTCTGCTTGCCGTTCTACGAATTCCTTTGTTATATGATTTTCGATCGTGTAATCAAGTTCGTAAACTTTGCATGAACTGACAAGAATAAATGAAGAGAACTATTATGAGAAATATTCATGTGTTATGTGATCTTCAATCATCTGATCAATTTTCGTATCTTTGCTTTGAGTTAGCGGAATAAGTGAGAAAAACTATGAAGAAAATATTCATTTATCATATGATTTTTAATTATCTGATTAATTTCCCATCTTTGCTTCTAAATGAGTCAAAAAAAGTGAAGAGAACTATCCTGAGAAAGATTTATTTGACATATGATCTTCAATTATCTGATCAATCTCCCTATCTTTACTTCGAAGTGAACAGAATAAGTGAAGAGAACTATCCTGAGAACTATTTATTTGTCATGTTATCTTTGAACATCTAACTAATCTTTCGATATTTGCTTTGAGTGAGCAGAATAAAAGAAAAGAACTATAATGAGAAATATTGATTTGTGATTTGATCTTCGATCATAAGATAAAATTTCCAATCTTTACTACAAAGTGAATAGAATAGGTGAAGAAAAATATGGTGAGAAATTTTCATGCGTCATATGATCTTTGATCATCTGATCAATCTTCCTATTTTTACTTCGAACTGAGAAAAATAACTGAAGAGAACTATATTGAAAAAGATTTATTTGTCATGCTTTCTTCGATCATCTAATCAATTTCTCTATCTTTATTTTGAATTTAGCGGAATAAGTGAGAAGAACTATGATGAAACTATTCATTTGTTGTGTGATCTTTGATCATCTGATCAATTTTTTCGTCTTTGCTTCTATGTGAACATAAAAGTGAAGCGAACTAGTATGTAAAATATTTATTTGTCATGTGACCATCGATCATCAGATAAAACTTTCAACCTTTGCTGCAAAGTGAATAGAATAGGTGAAGAAAAATATGGTGAGAAATATTTATTTCTCATGTGATCTTTGATCATTTAATGAACCTATCTATCTTTGCTTGAAGTTAGCAGAGTAAGTGAAGAGAACTATGATGAGAAATATTCATTTGTTATCGGACCTTCGATCATCTAATCACTCTCGTTATTGTTGCTTTTGGGATGAGAAAATGAGTGAACAGATCCATTGGGTGATGTTTATTCAACATCTTCTTGCTTTTTTTCATCAAACTTTATCCTATGGCTTTGCTTGAAAGTGGAAATAATAGACAAATGGAAGTTCGATTATTATAACATCTATTTGTTATATAATCTTAAATGAACTGATTAATCTACTTGTTTTTATTTCAAATATGAAAATACGAGAACAAAACAATCATTAAAATTATTCATTATTCATCAGATCATCAATAAGTTATTCAAATTCCCAATCTACGGTTCGAGGGTTATGGTAAGGTGAATAAAATGATCCATGCAAATGTCAAGGAAACAGATGAAGTTAATAGTGATAATCAATTATTGACTTTCTGATTGACTTTACTGAAGAAAATCTTTTTTTTTTTAATATTTGAAATAAAAGCAAGCGATTAGAAATTTCTATAATGTTATTCACGCGATTAAAGAATCAAAGAAATGCGTTCATCTAAAGTATCTACTTAGAACTTTGGAAGAATTCAATAGCATTTCTGTCTCGCACTTGCTAGTCGTTGGCAAGAAGTATTATAAAATTTTATTGTTAGTCAAATCAAGTGTTAGATAAGATAGGTTACAGTAGCAATGTCCCCTGCTACAAGATTCTCGAATTTTCATCAGAATTCCAAATTTAAGCGGTTAGAGTTCTATATAAATCAATAATTAGGAACGACTGGAATCTACGAATGTCCGAATTTTGAACTTATCAAACATAATCACTAGTTTACAATAATCAGAATTAATAGAATTCTAGAATCATCACAATTACAGAATAATTTATATCTACTGGTAATCATAACATATAAAACGAGGTATAGTTACTGCAGTTGTTGCTGCGAAAAAAAAACATATTATTTGTAAGATCAAGAGTGTAAACTGTTGAATTTTGATTCGTTGAATTCTAAAACCATCGAAACATTAGAAGATCCGAGATCTTCTATTATGTCCTTTAAAAAAGTTATAGTTTTTAGCAGTCTATGTGCTTAAAATCGGTAAAAAATTGGCGATTAATCGCCGACTTTGCTCGAACATTTTGACGATTTTTTTGATAAATCGTAATTTTATAGTCGATTTTTTTTGCGATAAATCGCGATTTTATAATCGATTTTTGCTCTCTATTCACCCATGTTCTATGCGATTTCATGTATATGTACTTAGGTTTTTCTTATCACATCCAAAACTTTCAATTATTGATTTAATTCTATGGATATTTTTATTTAAAAGAGAAATGAACACTTACGTTATTTTACATGAACCAATCATGTAATAAGAACAGAAATAAAAATGTGATGCACAATTTTACATAGTTAGACGAGGAAATATTCGAAAAAAAAAGTGAAAAAATCTAATGAAACGTCCATATGCAGTAATTGATCTTTTAAATTGAATTTTCTTTGAAAAAGATTCTATATGTATTTGTCCTGTTTATAAATGAAAAGCATAGGACTACATACAATGATGATAGAAGACATCCTGATATAGAATCAATTTAAGTTTTTCTGGATTACATATATATATATATCATTGTGTTAAATAACTGTGTAGAAATTGGATTTGACTCATAATTTAATAAATCTTGAAATATATCCCGATTTAATTAATAATTCATAATTAACTATCGAAATCGGTGATTAATCACGATGTGTCACCGGTGACGCAACGTCATTTGAGACTTGATGTTTTTTTTTTGTTAGAAAGAGCAAAAGTGTCTAGTGCAGAAATATATAAAAGAATTTGATTGAAAATGTTTTTTAGAAGATCAAAAAAATCTTAGAACAAAAGGCGTTGGAAAACTCTTTTGCAATTTTGGTCACATCTTATTTATTCAAAAATATTTGTTTGACTTTTTTCATTACCTAGTTTCTTCAACGCTTTCAGACATCGTATATATACAATTGTTCATTACAATGAAGCCTTTCTTTTAGTATTAAAATAATTGATATAGAATACAAGAGGATGAACAGAAAACAATTTGGCTTTTCAACGCGAACACAAATTTGTGTCTGGATATATCACAGAGAAGATGTATTCTATTGCGGAATGGAGTTTATTTTTTTCGACGACTATCAACAACGATGAAAAATTGGTGACTCAGAGGATCTCATAAAAGCGTTCATGTCGTCCGTTATAAAACATGTAGAGAATTTCTCTTTTTGTACAGCAACAGTACTCTATCCTTAAATAATAAAATTTGGATTAGATGATAAAAAGATAAGTTGTTTAAATTATATGAAATTTTTTCAAAGTTCAAAAAAGTTGCAGAAGCGTTTTGTGAGCGCCTTTTGTTCTAAGATTTTTTTCATCTTCGAAAAACATTTTCAATCAAATTCTTTTATGTATTTTTGCACTAGACACTTTGCTCTTTCTAATAAAAAAAAG